AGACTAAAGGTCGGCCTCAAGTAAGTTTATGTATGTACGTCTGTTTCTAAGGTTATGGAAACATCTGATTCCGTGTTCAATTGCATCTCTCTGGGTAAACTATATAGCCATTCAACTTAGTTCTCTCGCGCTCTTCTGCCCTCTCCCACCTTATCGATTCTCTGCCCAATCCTTCGCAGGAGACCATTGTGTCCCCATCTGGTATCATTCTAACCCCACGGGTTACGAGTTCAGCGCTCTCCATGCAAAGAGCTTCTTGTCTTTGGCTGCTCGTCTTCTACGGCACCTCCGGTTCTTCCCCCTTTTCCACGATAAGGGAATCTCACTTCTCTCAAAGGTGTACGACAAGTAGGCCGCAGTCAACATACCCTTGAATCATGTCACGGTAGCTGACCACAACGACAATTCGGAGGGATCTAAATCTTTCTGTTGCGGGTAGGATCACTATCATTGATCGCCCTAGCTTCTATGTTGACTTGAAACTCCTGTCACCCCCCAGCACAAGTCGCCCTCGCGACCTTACGGCAAGAATATATCAATGTTTTTCAGCCTCCTATTGGTTTTTTTGCAGGCACTTCTCCTGTTGTTGCACTCACTGGATGGATGCTCGAACATTGAGGTCCCCAGATATCAGCCGTTTGCGGTGTTGACTTTTGGTGGGTGGATAATTCCCAGGGGATATCGCCGTGCTTATTGGCGGCCGTGGAAGAGGATGGTGCAGCTTTTGCGTGATCTTGGTGGTGGTGGTGGTGGTGGGATTGACAGGATGGATTAGGTCAAGCTGAGGCAGGATGCTGAGGGCGATAGGGTTGTGCAAAGGATTTTGGACCATGATGATACAGTCATACCTATCTTGGGAGAGAAGTATTTGGAATCTACCCCTGCACCGACCAATGTGCTGTTGAACCATTATATCAGGGAAGCTGAAGCCCTGACTCAGTCAGAGGGGGAAGAAAAAGAGGGTGCTGTTGAAGAGCAGCTGGAGACAATGAGGGTGCTGGAGGAGATATTGGGGTTGATGTGTGGAAGGTCAGAGGACCAAGAAGAAGAGATGTATGAATTGCAAGAGCAGGCTCCAGAGGAACTGGGAGAGTTGTGGAGATGGCACAGAAGATGGATAATATGAGGCAGGAACAGGTGGAAAAGGTGGGGGAGGAAAGATAGGAGGCGATGGGGGATGTTGGAAATTTCCCAGGTGCCTGATAAGTAGTGTTCGAAAGTCCGGTTAGGTCCGGTTATTGGGTGCCCAGGGGCTCTAACCGAGACCGAGACCAGTTAGCCTTTGTCCCGAAACCTAAAATAACCTAACCGGACCGCAACTAACTGGTTATGGTCGGTTATTTGCAGTTACTAACCGGTTAGGACCGAAAAATAAAGAATCAGTTATAACAGGGCAAATATGCTCATATGTATCTTGATAGATATTATTTCTGCATATTCTAGCTTTAAAATGAGCCCAAGAACGCTAAAATCGGTGAAGAATTGACATATTTATGCAATTATCCTTGAAAGTCTACACATTTGACTGATATTTTAGAGATTTGACCGTAACTTAGTCAAATTTTAAGCGTTTTCGATGTTCTCAAGTGCGTTTTGAAGGTGTATAATAGGGCTGGTTATAACCGGTTATTTAACAGTTAGTTAACCGCAAAATAACTGTTTATTCCATTTTCGAAATCAACTAACCCTAGGTTAGTGTTGCAGTTAGGTCCGGTTATTTTCCGGTTAACTAACCTAACTTTCAAACACTACTGATAAGGCTCCGGCCTTGCAATGTTGATCGCCGACATAATCAGGCTGGATCCGACCCTTGCCAGCCCTTGTCATTTCACGGCAAGCCTGAGGAGATGATGCTGGGGAAATCCGGGGGGCGATTGCCTTACAAGGCGACCATATGTCTGATGTAATGATTCCTTCCATGTTACAAGCCTGATGATCTCTGGTAAGGTGTGATAAGGCAAATCAGGTCTGATAAGATTAGTCCAACCTCGTGATATAGGCTCCAATTGCCTCTCCAGCCAACTCAAGGCTATGAACCAATTACTGGTGTTTTGTGTGTCTTATAAGGTTACCTGTATCCTTTTGATCATGTTCAGCTGAAAATGATACCAAATTCCATACAGAGAGTAAAGATATGGTGTTGTGAGGTAGGCTTAAATACTAGATATATGATGGGCCTTGGGAAGTTTCTTATATGCCTTTGTAGTGTAGTGCTACGTTACAACTACAAATTTGTAGTCTTCATGTGAGGATCGCATGAGCCCTGAGGTTTTTGGTTCAATCTTTACTTGTTGCTTTTTAACTTGCCATGTAACATTGTTAAGTCTACACCATGACTAATTGTCATTTGGATAACCTTATCAGGTGATCTTATTAAGTTAACCCAAAACTTAATAAATTAACTGCAACATCGTAAACCATTATTAGGTTGGGGGTGCCTTGGGGGCCTAATAATCCTTATTAGGCACCAGGGAAATTTCCGACAGACCTCATGGATGAAGTTTCCGAGTCTAGCAAGACCTTGGTGAAGCTGTTTAAAGAAACAAAGAAATAGAGCAAGGCAAATGCATGAGTTGGTAAATTGTATACATAATGATAGTAAACTCCACAACATCCAAAGATTGGTATGACAATTTCAGTTCCACAAGACCTGGCTGCAAATTCAACAGTCAGTTGGTTATGTCAAAGGGGTAGGTATCAGTCCCATAGAACAACGCCTCTTTAACGTGATGCCAGGCATGCTCACCTGGAGGGCTGTCATCTGGACCCACTTGAGAGGCAGTGGCTGACAAGGGTTTCAATTAAGTCGATGTGTTTAGAAATCAGGAAATGCACCTGTGCATATAAGACCTGCATGGCAACTGCAACATTGATAGTCAAGCTCCACGTCCCAGTGATCAAGTCCTTGACATCCTTAAAAGTTAAGGCAGACACTACAAACACCTTCTCCTTAACCCAAGGAGATACCTAAACCAGCTCAACCCCTTCTTCAACACAAAGGTCATCATCAAACCAACGAGGTTTGGAACCAACCAACCAGCCCAGTGATGACCATGATCATCCCCTTCTTCTGTTCTTGGAAGAAACCCCCAGCCCTCTTCAACGCAGGTGCGGGATTGACACAAGTCACTTGCATGAGAATGAGTGAAGCGGCAGAAAGGAAGGTGTAGAGGATCTTGGCGGTAATGAAGGTGTACATAAAGAACAGGCCTCTGATGTGTGCAAAGTATACTACGGATACAGGTGCGTAACCTTTGTTGAGCGATGGCAGAGGAGCGCTGAGACTGGAGCTGAGAGGTACGTAAGCAGTGCAAGCACATTTTCAGCCATATGCTAGGAAAGAATAAGTAAGGTTTGGCGCCAAAGGATATTGAGATTGATAACCTTACCTGCCCAACTCCAATTTCGATGTTCTCCACAATATCCTTCCGCATGTGGTACAGATAGCTATTTCTGATTACAGCCATCTATACGAATCCATGGACTGGTAGTCCCATAGAGAAGTCAAGATGGCTTACATCAAGACCGGTAACATTCAAGTAGGTTTCGGGCTGCTGGAAATCAGTGCTAAGGATGGTGAGACCTTGATAGTGTTTGAAAGTCCGGTTCGGTCCGGTTTTTTGATGCCCAGGGGCGTTAACCGTAACCGTAACCGGTCTGCATTTTCCCCAGAAGTCAAAAGACCAGACCGGACCGCAAAAAGACCGCAGACCGCGGTTTTTTGCGGTCTATAGACCGGTTTCGGTCTGCATCGGTTTTAACTGGTTTATGACCGGTCTTTAGGCCAATATTTTTAAATTATTAATCGGTAAATTTATTAACATTTTTAATAGCTTCAAAACGAGCCCAAGAACGTTAAATTCCGTTAGGAATTGGTGCTTCTATAAAATAAGTCTGGTACATCTATTATTCCCCAAAGTAATTTACATTTTAATTCATATCTCTCTCGTTTTTTTACCAAATCATACGTTCTTGGGTGCGTTTTAAAGGGTATTTAAGGGGCTACAAAAGACCGGTCCAAACCGGTCAAAACCGGTTCACGTTAACCGGTCTTTTTGCGGTCTTTACATTTCAAAAATAAAAGACCGTAACCGCAGGTCCGGTCTTTTGCGGTCTTGGTCCGGTCTGGTTACGGTCTTTTTCCAGTCACGAGACCGGACTTCCAAACACTAGACCTTGATGCCAATAGGAAGAGGAATACACCTCACCCAAGGCTCAAGATATAAACAAACACACTCTGAAAGGATGATTGCCAAGCTGAAAATATCGTTTGCAAAAGTTGTTCCATACGGTCTGTTAGATTGATCATCAGAG